TGGGACAACAAAGGCACTATCCTGTCTTGGCATGAGGGCTGATGCAAGAACTAAATAGTGATCTGAGGGTGATCTGAGACTCCGAAGCTGGCCAGGGTCCCCCTTGGAGAGGCTGAGAGAACGGAAAGGCGAGATGGCTTGGATGAGGGGCATGGAAGCCCACCTGTTTCTCTGCAGCTCCTCCAGGTTGGCTGCATTCCACTCAGAGCCCTGTGGGGTAAGAGGAAAGAACCAGGTCTTGGCCTCCAGCTGTGTCCCTTCCAGCAGCTGCACTGCCCCCCCCCCAGCTGCACTCACCAGGTAAAGGTGAGGGAAGATTCGGGAAGCCCGGTCCTGCTGGGCCATGAGCAGGAGCATCTGATTGTCGATGAAATCGCGGTACTGTTGGAGAGGGCAGCCTAGGCGCAGCTCCAGGGCCTGGCGGATCTGCAGGCAGGGCCCAAGTGGAGGAAGGTTCCCATCCCTAGTGCCTGGGGGCCTCTGGGGCCAGTACCCATCCCATCGAGACTACTGAAACCGGGGCATTAGGGGTGGCTCAGGACTGCAGGAGAGCAGGCTAGAAAGGCCTCCAGGAAGGGCAAACCTATAGCCCTGGCCAGGGTCCCCCCTCCCCCCCATCCCTGCCCACCTCTTTGGAAGTGATGGTCTCTAGGTCACTGGAGTCCAACACCTGCCACAGCTCAGCCCGGATGGCCTGCTCCATCTGCTCCTGCTCTGAGGGCCTGGGAGTGGAACCCCTCAGTTAGGGGCCTGTGCTCTCCATCATGCCCCCCACCTCCTCCTCCAGCCCACCCTCACCCCTGCCCCACACTGACTGGCCAGACTCAGCAGTAGGGGGCCGCAGGGATTCGAGGTCAGCCATGGCCGTCCACTCGTTGAGGCAGCTCTGGTCCGAGTTCAGTTTCTCCTGGTACTGGGCAGCCCAGGCAAGGGCACTGCCACCAGGCACAAGGCCACTGCCAAGAGCCGCCTCGCATGCCTGGTGCAACACCTGGAGCGTGGCCCTGGGAGAGGAGGAAAGGCTGGGTCATGGAGTCCTCCTTGCTGCCCTCAGCCGGGCCCTCTCCTCCCCCCCAGAAGAGGATGCTGGGCTACTGTGGCGCTTACCACATGGTCTGGATGGAGATGGGCTTGAAGATTCGGCTCTGCCCACCAGATGTCACACTGAAGCCCCTGTACGAGACCCCAGGGAAGTAGAACCAGACTCCAGGTTCTCAGACAAAAACCCTGCCCATTTGCCAGATGTGAGGAGACAGAAGCCCAGAGAAGGTTAGGTGACTTGCCCAAGATCACACAGTAAATCTGAAGTATTGCTGAGAGCAGGACGCATGTTCTGGGCCCAGTCTGCTGTTCCCCTCTGCCCTGCCCCTCTCCCGTGGCGATCTCTTACCCGTCTCCGTCTAGGTACACCTGAGTGTCACTCCAGAGGGGAAAGACCAGGCCCAGGGTGCAGCTGGGGGAGCTGGCAGGGACACGAGAGTCACTGTTCTCCAGCATCTCATTCCTTGGCCCCCCCTTCCTGTCCCTGACCATACCTGCTATCAGGGAAGTCCACCCCCAGGAGCACCGTTTCCTCCTGGCTTAGACTTTCTCCTGAGGAGACCACCAGTAGGTAGCGGAGCCGAGGGGGTCGGGCTGCCTCCAGCTGGGCTGCCTATGAGAGACGGAAGGAGCCCTGAGTCACCACTTTGGGTGGGAAGACACTGATCCCCACCCCTCGTGGCACATACTGGTTCAGAACAGCCTCGCTGACCCCGTCCCCCCCCCATTCCCACCCCAGCTTCCTGATATAGGACCAGGGGCTCTCAATTTCAGGACTTCAGGGTCCAACAAAGTGTTTCATAATGTTGACTGTGGTAAAAGGGTGGAGTGGCCTGGTTTTGTTTCTGCCTTTCAAGGTTTTTTAAAAATCACATCACTTGGGGCTGGGAAGGTGGTTCAGTGGTAGTGCACTTGCCTTGCATGCCTGAGGCCCTGGGTTCGATTCCTCAGCACCACATAAGCAAAAAGAAAAAAAAGCCGGAAGTGGCACTATGGCTCAAGTGGTAGAGCGCTAGCCTTGAGCTGAAGAGCCGAGGGACAGCGCCCAGGCCCAGAGTTCAGGCCCCCACAACCGGCAAAAAAACAAAAAACAAAACACATCACTTGCCATATCAATCAGGAAGTGATTAACACCAAAAACTCCATGGACTGACTGACTCGAACAGAGGGGGCTTGTGCTCCAGCTTTACCAGAGACTTCACATTTTGCTGAGGACGGGTGTCTTATCTCAACCTAATTTGGGAGATGGTCTTTTTTTGGTCAGTTGTGGGGCTTGAACTTTGGGCCTGGGCATTGCCCCTCAGCTCTTCAGCTTAGGGCTAGCACTCTACCACTTGAGCCACAGTGTCACTTCCGGTTTTCTGGTGGTTTATTGGAAATAAGAGTTTCACAGACTTTCTTGCCCTGGCTGGCTTTGAACCATGAGTCTCAGATCTCAGCCTTCTGAGTAGCTTGGATTATAGGCGTGAGCCACTGGAGCCTGGTGGGAGATGGTCTTTGAGATCCAGCAGACCTCAGCCCCCTGTGTGGGTGGCCTGCTCTTCACCTAGGCCCCTTTAGCATACTGCCTTCCACCTTGTGGGTTGAATTTGACCCTATGACTCATGCAGAACAAATGTCCTCTGCCCTTTCCCAGCTGATTGCAGGTGACCAGCAGGAGCTGCAGAGAGCTACAGGTTGGGTGGCCCCTCTTCTGCCTGGAGAGTTCCCACTTGTTTTTATTTTTTGTCAGTCATGGGGCTTGAACTCTGGGCCTGGGCACTGTCCCTGAGCTCTTCAGCACCACTTCTGGTTTTCTGGTGGTTAACTGGAGATAGGAGTCTCAAGAACTTTCCTGCCTGGGCTGGCTTTGAACTGTGATCCTCAGGTCTCAGCCTCCTGAAGCTAGGATGACAGGCGTGAACCACCAGAGCCCAGCGAGGATCCCCACTCTACACCCTTGCTCCCTGGCAGACATCGGAGCTACAGCACGGCCCTCGGGGCTCCTCACCAGGCGGATGTCATCCTGGGGCCTCAGCATCTCCACCATGAGGTGCAGGTGCTGCCTCTGCACCTGTTTCCAGGGACTCTGGGCCCCCTGCCCGTCCGTCTGGTCACTGTGGGGTGGTTCCTCACCAGGGGCGTCCTCCGCTGGCTCAGAGCCAGCCTCAACCCCATCACCATTGTCCCCTCCATCCTGTAGTCCCAGGACAGCCCCACGGAGCACTGCAAAGCTCTGCCTGACAGAATGGTTGGAGATCATTAGGGTCCCGGCGGCTCCTCACATGGTAGGGAGCAGCCAGTCCCCAAGGGCTAGGGAAAGTGGATGTTTTGCTCATTCCCCTCTCAGGGGTCAGACAGGTGGGATGCGGTGGGGAGCTGGTATCTCTAACAGGACTCTGGGTGTGGCCCAGGTACTGGGAGAGTCAGCGTCGAGTTCTCCAGCCTCTGCCCTCTGGTCTGCTGTAAACCTAACAGGGGACCCGCCAGTCCTCGGGCCTTGTCCCATCCTGCTCGTGGGCCGGTGACTACTGGTCTGAGAGCGCGGAGGGGAGTGGGTGAAAGTGCCCGGGGGGAAGGCGAAAGCCAGGGCGGCTTGGCCTCCTTCGGCTCTGTCTGGAGTAAGGGGTGGCAGGGCCAGGCCCGGGGGCAGGAGAGCGGCTCACCTGCGCTGCAGCCGGCCTCGGCCCCGGACGGCGGCGCCCTGCGGAGAAAGCGGCCCGCGGGGGAGTGAAGGCGAGCCCCTCCCCGCTCCGGGCTGTGCGGGGCGGGGGGGGGGGTGGCATCGATCCCTTCCCACGCCAGTCCCTCCTCCACTGGGAGGCACTGGAGAGCCCAGTCCAGACACTGCCGGCGGGGGGCGATCGGGGCTCCCAGAGGCTGAGACCCGGGGACCCCTCCACCCACCTCACCCAGGAGTGGGCGGCTGCCCGGGCAGGACGTGCGCGCTCGGGCCCAGCGGGCAGCCGACTGCGCGGGCAGGGCAAAGCCGGACTCACCGCGAGCCCCACGGCTCACGGTGACCAGGGCCATGGGCCAGGCCGGGCGGAGCGGCTGGGCGAACGGCAGGCGCGGGCCCCCTCCCGCAGCCCCGCGGACGGTCCCGGCCCGCAGGACCAGGAAGGAGACCGGAGCCGCCAGGGCCTGGCACCTCCTCGGGGGCGGCCCTTAAAGGGCCAGACGCCCGGCCCGCCGGGCCTGCTGGCCCTCGCCCAGCGGCCGCCCCGCCCCTCGCGTCTGTGCGGTGCCACCGCCCCGCTCCCGCCTCCCGCCCCCGCACTGGGGGCGGGGCCAGCGCAGGTGAGGGGCGTGGCCGGGCCCGGCGCAGGTGAGCCGCGCCGCCCTCACCGGCAGCCCGAGGCCTCCCGCCTCCCCCGGCTCCGCCCGATTAGATCAGCCGGGCTGTCTGGGGTCTCCACCGCGCTTCACCTAGCGGAGGTCGGTCCTGGGGTGGCCGCGGTGGAGGACACCGGTCTGAGGTCAGGCGCGGTGGCTCTGACTCAGCCACCCAAACATTTCTCCTGGAGGGTGGGCAGGGTCTCCTCTGCACGAATCTGGGACACATGGGGTTCCGAGGATTCTCAGGTCCGCCTTGGAGGCGGGCAGGGCTAAGCCCGATTTCCAGCTGTGCGGAGGGAAGGGACCTGCCCACATCAGCACGATAGACCACGCTGCCCACATCAGCGCGCTGGAGTTGGGGAAGGAATCAGGGTGCAACCTGGGCCTGCACTGCAGGGACGGGGTGGGGGAGGCCAGGCTGGGTGCGGGAAGGACCACAGGACTCGGGTAGGTGGGTGGAGCGGGCTCCCGGGAACTGTCCATGGACAGCCCAGGCGGTGGAGCGGGCTCCTCTTTTACAGCCTGGAGGCTAAGAGAGGCTGAGGGGGCCCTGGCTAGGATTCCGGGCTAGGTCTTTAGTCATGGGCCAACCTGTCCCTCAGCTCTAGCCCAGTGAGTAGAGCAAGTCCTCTGCTGACGGCCTCTTTATTTCCATCTCGGTTCCAGCCCACCCCCAGGACTCCAGGCTCAGCAGCAGACAGTTTATAAATAAATAAATTACAAAAGCCAGTGGAGGGAGTGGCCCCAGACTCAGTGCTCCGTGAGTGACAGCTGCAGAATGCGCTGCAAGTCCTCTTCCTCCTGCTGACCCCGCCGCTCCCGCTCCTCCTGCTCCCTCGAAGACAATTCCAGAGCCAGGCGAAGCTGCTCCTCAAAGCTTGGGGGGGCATGGGACGGGGGCATGTTCTGAGGGGATCCTGGGCCCCTGGACTCTGTGGACAGCTGCAGGCTTTCCTGGAGAGCTCTTCCAGGCAAAGGTAAGAGGGGGAGAACAGACAGTTGAGCAAGAAGGCTGGAGAGGGAGGAGGAGCAAAGGGGCAGGCACAAGGCTCTGGGAGACAAGGAGATCAGAGAAAGGGAGGGAAGGGGAGGTTCAAGGACTGTTTCCCCTCTCTCTCCATTTTTTTGGTGGTGACCAGCCCTGCTCTGATGAGGGGCTGGGGTCCTAGGACCAAGACCTCCCCGGGACCCATCAGGTTTGGCCCAACCAAGGCAGGGGACCTGGCGGGTGCTGCAGGGTCTCACCGCTCCAGCTGAAGCTGCTCCTCATATACTGTGGCTTGAGGAGGGTGAGTGCCAGGCCTCGTGTTGGTCAGGGCTTCCCACACAGTCACCTGCAAAGCCCCAGCCCAAGCTGTCAACTCAGCCCTGTGGCCGAGGCGGCTGAGGTCCACCCTCTGCCCAAGTCCCACCTGCTCTGCCTCTGTGCCCGCCTCCAGCAGGCTCTGCTGGATGGCAAACTGCAGCAGGTCGTCATCTTCATCCCGAAGGGGCTCGCTGCGCTCTGCACCCAGCACACTGTACCCCTCGGGTACTTCAAACACAGTGGGGTCCACCTCACATGGGAAAGGGCTCCCTGGACAGGCAGCAGGGGAGCACACTCAGTCTCGGAGGCTCAGCCACCACAGAGCCGCACGGCCTCCTCGGTTACCTGCATCCATACCTGAAACAGCTGCCGCAGTACTGGAGGCCGCAGAGCTGGAGGCTGCAGAGCTGGAGGCCAGCACCCTCACTGAGCTCAGAGGCTCATCACAGCCGCACAGGTTGCTGAAGGTGATGCGGGCATTGAGCACGTGGAAGAGGGGAATCTCTGGGAGGAGACAGCTGGGACTGAGCTGCCTGCTCCTCACAATCCCCCCATCCTTGAGGAAGACCCATACCCAGGCCCGCCTCCCTCTCACCAATCTTGACAGGGAAGCCTGGCGGGAGGCGCAGGGTGATGAAGTCCCGCAGCTTAGCAAAGTGAGCATTGCTGATGGCCATCAGGTCAATGATAGGTGTCACCTGGTCACCCAGAGAAAGCGGGTGCTCCTCGCTCAGCCACAGTGTTGCCTTGAACCTGCCCAGATGGCCAGAGCATGGAATCAGGGACCCTCTGGTGGTCTTTCCTCCAAGGCCTATCCTCTCCTGTCACCCCCTGTGATACCCTCCTCCCTGCTCAGCTGCCCCTTATCTTCCCTAGAGACAGCCCTGCAGCCTGGCCCTGAAGCGCACACTGCTTCAGTCCCTGGGCGCAGATCAGTGTCCACGGCTTTGTGCCCAGGCATCTGGTCTGGATGAGGAGGGCAGGGGCCAGGCTGTGGGCTTCGGGGCTTTGTCCACAGCCCTGTCTTCCTCCCCTACCAGAGCTGGCCAGCACCTCATACTTTGTGGTACTGATGTGTCCAGTGGAGGCCAAGGGTCAGGACTGCAGGAGTTTGACTCCCAGCTCCACCCCTGGTGCCTGAGAGGATCTCTGTGAGGTGGCCTTGGAGGCATTAGGCTCTGTCCACTGTGACCATTGACATCTGCTCATCAGACCCTCCCTGCAAGTGTGATGTCTCTTGTCCATAAGCGGGAAATCAAACTCATATGGGGGAAGACATTTACCGTGACACACAGCTGTGATAGCAGGGCTGTGGGCCCTTCCCACTCTGCCATGCTCTGGCTCCTGGTCCATGATCATTAAGTTGAATTAAAAAACAACACAAAAACCCACAGATTGTGCTACTCGGCATTCATTCAATCCTGCATCCAAGCGTCACCAGTTTCCTGGGCCAAGCCACACACACGTGCTCAGAAGCACAGGTAAGTGAGAGCCGTGGCTCCAGACAGAGGCTGGCTAGAGGAGCAGGCCCCATTGTGATGGATCCAGGTGTGACAGGAATCAGTGGGGGGGGGAGTCCAGGCAGGGTCCCCACCCTTGAAGGAAGTCCCCAGCCAGCTCCCCAGGCCTCACCTCTGTACTTTGCTGGACATCTCAATGGGGCGGCCAATGTTTCTTGACTCCAGGCTGAAGCTGGGGTCGAAGTATTCTTCTGGGGAAATGGCTGTGGGGTTGGTGGGGCTGGCTGCTTGCTGCACAGGAGCCTGGGTGGGCCCCAGGACCAGACTTAGCCCTCAGGCTGACCAGGATGGTACCCCGCCCACCCAGGGTCAGCCCAGCCCTTCCCCCAGCCCTGCTCACCCCACTGTAGGAGGAATGCTGCTGGGCCATCCCCAGGAAGGACTGGAATGGAGTCTTCCCTCCTAGGGAGCAGAGGACGGAGCCCATGAGGGGAAACTGGGCTACCACCCAGACTGCCCCTTGCCCCCTACCGGGAAGCCCTCCTGCTGAGGGGGGTAGGGAGACAGCCTCCCAGCTGGTCCCCGATACTCTGGCCCTGACCCCAGACCAGCGTGTGACTGGGCAGCAGGCAGGCGCACCTGGGTTTACCTTTGGTCCTCGACTTGTCCTGATCAGAGAGGTGTTCTGTGCGTGTGCGTGTCACCAGCTCCACGTTGGTGGCACTGTACACCTGGGGAGCAGAGGGGGACATGGGGAAGCTGGGCATTCAGAAACTTCCCCACACCCAGCTTCAGCAGCACAGCACCCAACTCCTCCTGTCCCCAGAGACAGATGAGGAAGCAGATGGCAGGGTCTGAGCCCCAGGAGTCATTACCCAGGAGATACATCCTGAACGCCAGGAAGAAAATGCTCTTCCTCTGACTTCACAGCCTGGGTAGGGCTCAGCAGGCCTGTCCCTGGCCACACAGAACTTCCCGGCTCTAAGAGCTACTCTGTCTCTCCCTCCACATGGGGGCAGGAGAATGTGGGGGGGGGCAAAGAATGTGGCAAGCTCCTGGACCTTGTCTGTTCCCCCCCCCCCCCGGCCGCCAGCCCCCTCCAGTGGCCTCTCCTGCCTTGGCTTCGTAGCCGCTAACAGTCTCCATCTTCTCAGACCGCCATCCCCAGATGCCACACTTGTTCCTGGAACAAACCAAACAGAAGCTTGTGAGGCTCCCACACAACCAAAGCTCCCTCCAGCTCACAGAGCCTGGCTGCCCAGCTCCCAGGGGCTCTTTCCACGGTGAGACATAAAGGGATCTGAAGAGGCTGCCGGCAGCTGGGAATGCTTGAACAAGGACTGAGGATTGTTGTTCATTTTATTAGCTATGATAATGGCGTTGAGGCTGGGTTTATAAATATCCTTATCTTTATCTGCTAGCACAGAAACATTTAACTGTTGAGATGATAAGGGAACTAAGATGTGCTTTAAAATATCCTCAGAAAGCAAAGAGGGAAAAGGTGAGGAAGGACAGCTATGAGATGGGTAAAAGGTTGCTAAGGCTGAAGCTGAGTTTGATCAGTAAATACTCTATCCACCTTCCCTCTCCTTTCCTCCCTCCCTATGCCCATCCCTCCCTCCTTCCTTTTCCTTCCTGTCCCTCCATCCTTTCCTTTCTCCTTCCTCTCTTCTTCTCTTCCTCCCTCTCTTCTTTCCTTTCGAGTGCCTTACTCTCCTCTCTCCTTTTCCCCTTAACTCCCTCCGTTACTCTGCTTTCTTCAGTGCTGAAGACTGAACTTAGGGCCTCAGGCATACATGCCAGACAAGTACTCTACCTCTGATTTATAACCCCCAGCTCATATTTTAACATTTTCATAATAAAGAGTTACAAACTAGCCATGCCCTGGTGGCTCATGCCTGTTAGCCTAGCTACTCAGGAGGCTGTGATCTGAGGATCGTGGCTCAAAGCTAGCCCAGGCAAGAAGGTCTGAGAGACTCTTATCTCCAATTAACCACCAGAAAACCAGAAGTGGCACTGTGGCTCAAAGTGGTAGAGTGCTAGCCTTGAGCTGAAGAGCTCAGGGACAGCACCCAGGCCCAGAGTTCTCAAGTGCCAGACCCAGAAGAAAAAAAAAAAAAGAGACCAATTCAAAAATTGAATAACGAATTCCGTTTCTAATTTATTTTCACATACTTTCTGTCCTCCGTGAGGAGCTGCTTTTTGTAATCACAAAGAAGCAGAAGACATGAACAGTACTATAAACTAGACTTTTATAAATCTTCTGAGAGCACTTCACCTTTCTCAAATGCACATGAAATGTCCCTTAGATCACTTTAAGATTATGAAAGAAATTTCAATAAAACAAAATAGATGTCATCTACATTATTTTTCAAACATAACAGAAGGAAATTAGAAATAACAAAATAATCTTAGAAACTCATAAATGTGGACTGTAAACAACACAGTTCTAAATAATCTTTGGAATAAATTCAGAGGGAAATCAGAAAATATTTTGGGATCATAGATATGAAGATATAACATATCCAGACTCATAGGACACAGCTAATGTCAGGCTTGAGAGAAATACAGAGCTGTAAATGACAATGTTAAGAAAGAAGAAGGGGGCTGGGAATGTGGCTTAGTAGTAGAGTGCTTACCTAGCACGTATGAAGCCCTGGGTTAGGTTCCTCAGTCCCACATACACAGAAAAAGCCAGAAGTGGTGCTGTGGCTCAAGTGGTAGAGTGCTAGCCCTGAGCAAAAGAAGCTCATGGACAGTGCCAAGACGCTGAGTTCAAGCCCCAGGGCTAACAAAACAAAAACAACAACAAAAAAAACAATAACAACAAAAAAATGAAGAAGCCAGGTATTGGTAGCTCATGCCAGGGATCCCAGCTATTCAAGAGGCTGAGATCTGAGAATCGTGGTTCAAAGCCAGGCTGGGCAGTAAAGTCCATGAGACTCAATTAACCACAATTAACCACCAGAAAACTGGATGTAGTGCTGTGGCTCCAAGTGGTAGAGCACTAGCCTTTAGCAAAAAGTGCTCTGGGACAGCGCACAGGCCACAAGTTCAAGCCCCAAAACTGACAAAAAAAAAAAAAAAGTTCCACAGAGAGCCAGGAGGCTGAGATCTAAGGATCACAGTTCACAGTTTGAAGTCAGCCCAGGCAGGCAGGAAAGTCTGTGAGACTCATATCCAATAAACTACTCAAAAAATGTTGCAAGTGGAGTTGTGGCTCAAGTGGTGAGCACTAGCCCTGAGCAAAAGAAACTCAGGGACAATGCCTAGGCACCGAGGTCAAGCCCAGTACCAGCACAAAGATAGGAAGGAAGGGAAGGAAAGAGGGAGAAAGAGAGAAGGGGAGGGAGAAAGAAAGAAAGAAGGAAGGAAGGAAAGAAAGAGAAAAAGAAAGAAAAGAAAGCAAGAAAGAGAAGGGAAGGGAAGGGAAGGGGAGGAGAGGGGAGGAGAGGGGAGGGGAGGAGATGGAGGGGAGGGGAGGGGAGGAAAGAAAGAGCTGGGTATTAGTGGTGCACACCTGAAGCCCAGATAGATACTAAAGAGGCTGAAGTAAGGAGAACCATTTGAGGTCAAGAGTTTGAGACCAGGGGCTGGGAAGGTGGCTCAGCGGTAGAGCGCTTGCCTTGCATGCATGAGGCCCTGGGTTCGATTCCTCAGCACCACATAAACAAAAAGAAAATGCTGGAAGTGGCACTGTGGCTCAAGTGGTAGAGCGCTAGCCTTGAGCTGAAGAGCTGAGGGACAGGCCCAGGCCCAGAGTTCAGGCCCCATGACCAGACCCCCCCCCCAAAAAAAAGAGTTTGAGACCAGACAGCCCAGACAGCCACTGTCATAGCTACTCAGAAGGCTGAGATCTAAGGATCATGGTTCAAAGTCAGACAGACAAAAGTCCATGAACTTCTAACCTCCAGTTAACCACCAAAGAGCCAGAAATAGAGCTGTGGCTCAAGTGGTAGAGTGCTAGCCTAGAGGAAAAAAAAAGCCTAGGGACAGTGCCCAGGCCTTGAGTTCAAGCCCCAGGACTGGCAAAAAAAAAAACCAAAAACAAAAAACTTTTGAGACCAGTTTGAGCAACATAGTAACACCTGAGAAAGAAAGGAAGGGAGGAAGGTTGGTCTCAATTACCCTAACCTTTCACATTAAGACACTGGAAAGCTGGGTGCCAATGGCTCACATCTATAATCCTAACTTCTCAGGAGGCTGAGTGGTTCCAAGCCAGTCCAGGCAGAAAAATCCACCATTCTAATGAGGCAGCAAAAATGCTGGACTTAGCTGGGTGCTGGTGGCTCACGCCTGTAATCCTAGCTACTCAGGAGGCTGAGATCTGAGGATCGCGGTTCAAACCCAGCCCGGGCAGGAAAGACTGTGGGACTCCTATCTCCAATAAACCACCAGAAAACCGGAAGGGGCGCTGTAGCTCAAGTGGTAGAGTGCTCGCCTTGAGCTGAAGAGCTGAGGGACAGCGCTCAGGCTCAGAGTTCAAGCCCCATGACTGGACCCAAAAAAAAAAAAAAAAAAAGAAGTGTTCAAGGGCTGGGAAGGTGGCTCAGTGGTAGAGCCTCCCTCACATGCCTGAGGCCCTGGGTTCGATTCCTCAGCACAACATAAGCAGATAAAGCTGGAAGTGGCGCTGTGGCTCAAGCGGTAGAGCGCTAGCTTTGAGCTAAAGAGATCAAAAAAAGAAAAACAGTGGCTCAAGTAGTAGAATAAAGCCAAGTGAGAGCTCAGAGCTCTGAATTCACGAACACCGCAGCTCCTGCTGTAATTGTAACTATTAAAAAGTAAGCTTTCCAATGTTAAAGTTCTTACTGATCTTTTTTTTTGGGGGGGGGGCAGTCCTGGGGCCTGAACTCAGGGCCTAGGCACTGTCCCTGAGCTTCTTTTGCTCAAGGCTAACACTCTACCACCTGAGCCATAGCACCACTTCTGGCTTTTTCTGTTTATGTGGTATTGAGAAATTGAACCAAGGGTTTTATGCATGCTAGACAAGCACTTGACCACTGAACCACATTTCCAGCCCTGTTAAAGTTATTATAAAGCAACAGTAAGACAATAAAAAGTCCTAGCACAAGAAAAGACCAAGGGAACAGAATGGAGAGTTCCGGGGGAAAAAAATCTCCAACCTGATCTATAGCCAAATGACTTTTTTTTTTTTTTACAACAGTGGCAAAATTAATGGGAAAAGCACAATATTTTTAACAAAGGCTGAAACAGCTAGATAGTCACAGACGAAAGAATTAAGTTGGACTCACATACCTAAGGATTAGGTCAAAATGGCTGAAAGAGCTAAACTATAAAACTTTCAGAAGAAAATGGGAAAATCTCCATGGCCTCAGATTTGGTCATGAATTTATTAGGTATGCCCAAAATAATGGGCAACAAAAGAAAAACTGTTATCAAAAATTCAAAGTTTTTAGCCAGACCCTGTTGGCCTATAATCTTAACTAGTTAGAAGGCTAAGATTGGAAGGATCATAGTTTCTGAGCAGCTAGGGGAGAAAAGTCTGTAAGATTTCATCTCCAAGAAGGGAACCTGGACGTGGAGGTTCACATCTGTGATCCCAGTGATATAAGAAAACCTTGAGTAGACGCCAAAGCTCAGGCACACAGTCAGGATGGGTGGGGAAGCCAGACACTCTCCTAAAACCACCAGTGAAAAACAGGGCAAAAGACATGACTCAAGTAGCCAAGTGCCAGACAAGCAAGCATGAGGCCTTGAGTTCAAACCCCCCAAACTGAAGTGTCAAAAAAAAAAAAAAGAAGAAAGAAAATGAATTGTTGCAAACACCATCAAAAAAGTAAAAAGACATGGCTGGGAATACAGCTTAGTGGCAGAGTGCTTGCCTAGCATGCAGGAAGCCCTGGGTTTGATTCCTCAGAACCACGTACACAGAAAACACCAGAAGTGGCTCTGTGGCTCAAGTGGTAGAGTGCTAGCCTTGAGCAAAAGAAGCTCATAGACAGTGCTCAGGCCCTGAGTTCAAGCCCCAGGACTGGCAAAAAAAAAAAAGTAAAAAGACAATTTTCAGAAATGGAGAAAATCATGAATATATGGAGAACTCTTACAACTAAAGCAGAAGAGAACCCAACTAAAATCATGGTGAAAGAATCTGAACAGGGAAGCCGGGCGCTGGTGGCTCACACCTGTAATCTTAGCTACTGGGGAGGCTGAGATCTGAGGATCATGGTTCAAAGCCAGCCTGGGCAGGAAAGTCTGTGAAACTCTTATCTCCAATAAACCACCAGAAAACCAGAAGTGGCACTGTGGCTCAAGCGGTAGAGCGCTCGCCTTGAGCTGAAGAGCTGAGGGACAGCACCCAAGCCCAGAGTTCGAGACCCACAACCAGAAAAAAAAAAAAAAAAGAATCTGAACAGGGCTGGGAAGATGGCTCAGTGGTAGAATGCTTGTCTTGCATGCATGAGGCCCGGGGTTCAATTCCTCAGCACCACAAAAGCAGAAAAAGCCAGAAGTGGTGCTGTGGCTCAAATGGTAGCCTTGAGTTGAAGAGCTGAGAGACAGTGCCCAGGCCTATAGTTCAGGCCTCATGACAGACAAAAAAAAAGAATCTGAACAGCAAGAACAAGTGAAAAAAAAATCTAAATAGTCATTTCTCCAAAGAAGATATACAAATGACCAATAAGTACATAAAAGATGCTTATCATCAGTCATTAGGGAAATGCAAATCAAAACCACAATGAGGTACCACTTTCCATCGCTATGATGGCTACAGTCCAACAATATAATCCAAGAATGAATGAATGCAAATCATCAGGAGTGTTAGTGAGAATGTGGAGAAATCAGAACCCTCCTTCACGGCTGGAAGGAGTGTGAAATGGTACAGCACCATTGATAAAAAGTTCATTGAACAATTAAATATCAAGTGACTACATAGTTCAGCAGTTCCATATAAGAACAGACTCAGGAAAAATGAAAACACATGTACATATAAATTTTGTATACAAGTGTTTATAGCATCATTATTCATAATGGCTAAATGGACCAGGTGACAGTAGCTCACACGCATCTGTAATCCTAGCTAGATGTTTAGGAAGCTGAGATCTGAGGATGATGGTTTGAAGCCAGCGAGGGTCAAAAAGTCCTTGAGTGTCTACTTCCAATTAATGAGCAAAAAAGCCCTACTGGAGATGTGGCTCAAGTGTTAGTGAACAAGCTGAGCAAGAGTGCAAGGCCCTGCCGGGTGCTGGTGGCTCACACCTGTCATCCTAGCTACTCAAGAGGCTGAGATCTGATCGCGGTTCAAAGCCAGCCCAGGCAGGAAAGTCCGAGAGACTCTTATCTCCAATGAACCACTAGAAAACCGGAAGTGGCACTGTGGCTCAAGAGATAGAGTGCTAGCCTTGAGCTGAAGAGCTGAGGGACAGTGCCCAGGCCCAGAGTTCAAGCACCAGTACCAGCCCATGTGTGCACGCATGTGCCCCCCCCCAGTACGTGTCCAAATGGTGGGAAAAATGTAAATGTCTATGAACAGACTAGTGAATAGACAAAATGTGCTATTTTCATTTAATGGAAGGAATGGGTACTCATGTGAGGGTACCAAAGTGACCCCTCAATCTGAGCAGCCTCTGGGGTGGGGCCTCAGCTTCCCGATGCCCCAACCACGAGCCTCAGAGCTTACCCGTACCCTCAGGGCTTAGCCTTCCCCTGCCTTCATCCACTGTGACTTTTGTTACCTCTTCCCTGTGCTGTCCCGGGCGTGCCAGGGCCCAACTGACCTCTCAAAGGCCACATTGCGCGTATCCAGGTGGGTGGAGACGATAGGGGAGGTGAGGCGACTGGCGACATGCTCCTCGCTGGGCCGCATGGCGGCCAGCAGTGTTTCAGGCTCATGCAGAGCCATCCCTAAGGTCTCTGTGTGCACCACCTGTCGGTCATGGTCCACTTCCATCACCAGGGCTCCTTCCTCTGCCAGCAAAGGAGGGTAGAGAGGGGACACAGATCAGTACTGACTCTTCCAGCAGGCTACCTGGGGCTGAGTGGCTACAGTCTCAGCCCCTGGATTCCCTTCCACCCTCAGCATGAACTCAGGGCGTGGATGCTGTCCCAGAGCTTTGTAGCTCAAGGCTAGCACTCTAGCACTTTGAGCCACAGTTCTACTTCCTGTTTTCTGGTGGTTAATTGGCCTTTCCTGCCTGGGCTGGATTTGAACTGTGACCCTCAGCTGTCAGCCTCCTGAGTAGCTAGGATTATAGGTGTGAGCCACCAGCACCCAGCTACCCTCAGCTTTTCTCCATGTGCATAGTGCAGAGAAAGCCACTGAAGCATTCGAGGGTGCTACACATCCCAAAGCCTGCAGCAAATGCCCCTGAGCTCACCCTGGCCCTTGAAGATGAAGCTCCTCCGGCCACGCTGCCAGGTCATGTGCTCAAAACCCAGGAGACTCGTGTCCACCCGCAGGCTCTCACCCCGCTTCCACACGCGGTACACATCACTTGGGCACATTTTGGACACAAGTGGCACTGCAGGGAGTCCTGAGGTCACCGGGGTCTTCCCCGAAGGCCCCACTCCAAGTCCCTGGGGAGGGGGAGGGCCACAAGTGGTTCCCACTCACCCCAGCTGGTGAACTCCCACTTCATCTCCACGTAGAAATCAGGGGCCTGAGAGAAATGAAAGCTATCCATCAGGCCCAGCCTGGGCGGGAGGCCAGAGGGCCTGGTGGCTCCTTGTCTACCTCCATCCACAAGCATACTGGGAGGCCCTAGGGAAGCCTCTGCCCCCTCTTTGTCTGAAAAGGGGGCCCTAGGACCTCCAGGCCTGCCCTGCCAACCCTCTGCAGCATGCAGAAGGGCAGACTATACACAGAACCAGGAAAAACAGTGGCCCAAGCCATCTCCACCCAGCTGCCCTTCCCTGGAGAAATCTAATTCTCAAGGAAGGCCAAAGTCTAAAGTTCTATAGAGACATCTAGTGCCAGGGCCCTCCACGCCAGTGAAAACTTTGCTTCCAATCTCATCCACATGGCCTGGGATCCTTTTCTTCTCTCATGACTGTAAGGTGGGGGGTCCAGACAGAGAGTGGTGGGGAGCAATACTGCATGGGCTGGGTGATCTTCTAAGCCAGGCTTGGCACACAGGTGACCAAGATGGCTCCTGACAAAACCCCACCATCACACACTTAACTAACCATCTCCTGGGTCCTGCCCTTACCTGGCGGAGTTTGTTGAGCAATTCGGGAATGCCAGCCAGCCTCTGTGTAGCCCTCTGGAAGTCCCGATACTGGAGCACCAACTGTACCATCTCCGGGTCTCCGGTGCTGACTGCCTCTTGCAGGACTAAGGGATATCTTATTGCTGAGGAAAGCCTTCCCACTGGCCCCTGGTCACTCCCTCCCACCCACCAACCCCACCGCTGGCCATAAGGAAAGCCCAGTGCAGTACCTGCCCAGCCCTGGCGGCTCTCTCTGCCCACATTGGCATTATGTCGAAGGAGGACTCTGACAGATTCCAGATTTCCCAGAGATACAGCCAGCTCCAGAGGAGTGCGCCCCCGGGGATCCTCCTGTTCTAAGTCGTGCTAAGGGAGATGGAGAGGCCAAGGCAAGAAGGTTGAACCCAGACCGAGTCACTTTGGGATATAAGGGCGGCAGCCAGGCCAGGGAGATGGCAGAAGGTGGCTTGTGTGTCCTGGTGGAGAAGGCGCACTGGGGAGGGCAGGGGACTGGTGGGGAGGGAAGCTGTGGGAAGGGCTTGGTTCCAGCAGACCTTCAGGCCTGATGGAGGGCTCTGGCTAGACAGATGCAGGCGAGGGATGGGAAGAGTTCAGCGGGGTTCCTTTCTCTGCCTGGCTCAGAGGTGACACGGGAGAGTTCAGGGGATGATGCAGTAGGAGGTGGGCAAACCTCAGGACAAGGCCCGGCGCCGGAGAAGCGAAGCGGCCAAAGGATGGAGCGTGAGTGCAGGTGACCCGGGCCGGGGCCGGGACCGGGGCCGGGCGTGGGTGCAGCTCGGGGCAGGGCAGGCACAGGCCTTCAGCTTGCAGCTGCACTCGGGAGGGGGCCAGGCGGACTGGCCGGGAGGGGGCCTCACCTGACCGCTGTGCAGCGCGGCCTCCAGTTCGCGGTGCCGGTTCGCCCAGACGAGCCGGTGCAGCCGGAAGGTGGGGCCCGGGCCGGCCATGCTGGGCCTCAGTGCCGCATCCCGGGCGGGCTGGTGGGCGCGGCAGGGGCGGCCCAGCTCCTCTCGGCTT